GATGAGTTTCTCAAAACTCTTACTGTATTGTTTACTGTTGTTTCGAATAACATGAAAATTATTATTCGAAAGTATGAAACTTACATGTATGTGAGAAATTCAAATCACCACTACTCTCTTCATAAAACACGCCAATAGGTGAATTAATATTAGTAGCCAATCCAGTCAACCCATCCAAGTTAAATATTCCAGCACCAGTTCCAATCAAAGTTTTAATTGAATACTTGACATTAATGAATCTTTCTTGAGCTCTAATGAAAGATATAATAGAATAGAGTGATAATAACACTAGTAGTATGAATGAAAGTGTTTTAATCATCTTGTTTTTTTGAAATGTTATAAAGGGTATCTGTCAGTGGCTTAGTTATAATATTTCATTCACACAATGACAAGTGATGGTCGTGAAGGAGTATCGGGCTTTAATAATTGAAATGAGAAGCTGTTATCATATTTTAAAGGGTAAGAGTTGCACCATTAATGAATCATTCTTTAATTCAAAGATTCTCCAATGGATATTGTAAGGAACATTTTGACATGTTTAGTTTCTTTTATTTCATTGAGATATCGAGAATCTTGTTCCATAATTTTCTTTAATTTGTCAGGATTATGTTGCATTCCAATATGATTCTATGATTCCTTTTGTTTTTGAACAAATTACTTGTGGATTAACTTGTTCAATCCAAATCCCACAGCAGCGCAGAAAGCAGCTACACCTAAAACAGTCCAGTAAGGTGTTGAATCTTTGGAAGGTTTTGCAGATGTTTTTGTTTCCTTCTTGGTTGTGGTGTTAACATTTTCTATATTCGAAATTATTGGACAATGTATTCTTGGTCCACAAACACCATTCAATACACTTCTCATTGTACTCAATACGTTTACAACATCCTCAGAAGATGATAATTCATTGTAAGGTTGTAATGAAGACATGGAAATTTCATACCACCCTCTACCGTTAGAGAGAATCTTATTGATCGTAATCTTTAAATCATTCAAGCAGTATATTTCCTTAACCTTATTTCTAACACTGTCAATTCTGAAAATATCTAACAATTCTTGAGGAACTCCAGACATGTCGACTTGATCCTTCTCATTGAACTTGAGCGCTGAAATGAATTTGTTGAATTCTTCATCGGTTGATTCTCTCGAATACTGTTCAGTTTCAAATCTCAATCTCAAATCTGGGCAATTCTCCTCCAAGTTACAAAAGTCCAGATAGGAAAGCTTATCCAGTGCAATCTTTAATTTTCCAATTTTAGCCAATGATCCATTGGGAACTACTTTGAAACTCATTCTCTTACCACCAGCACTTCCCATAATTCCTTGCATTAATTTCACCACATAACATGTGGCACTCTTGATTGTTTCTGTGTGTTTCCAATTATTCTTCAACAAGTATTCTTTCAAATTCAATGCAAAATCTCCTCCCATTTCCAATCTAAATGAAGATTTTAAATCCTTTCCATAACCAATATCCAACTTGGAGAACGATTCAAAATTATAAACTCTATTCAAAATACTACTTGTCATTTCCACATTTCTCTTGGCATCATAAAAGACCTTTCTTCCCAATCCAACCTTAATAAGAAGCTTTCTCTCCATTCCTTCAAATTGATCCAATTTCAAATAGTTCGATACAGCAGATGATAATCCCTCTGAAATTAATTGTCTCTCCTTTCTCTGTGAATATAATTGATGATCCGATTTGACCAATCTCTTCTCCACCAATAATGATGATGATGAGGATGAGGATGTATCACTAGTTTTATCCCCACCATTACTACTACTATTAGATAGCAATTGCTCTTCATGTGATGCAGAAGAACCATTATTAGAGAATTCCATTGAAGAAGAAGAAGAAGGTATTGTTGATTGAAGATCTTTCACTTCCTCATCAGCCAGTTCATCATTATCATCCGAAGCAAGAGCAAGTCGATAATAATTCTGATGATGTTTTACTTTTTCTCTCTGTTCTCCTTCTTCTTTATCATCATCATTATGATTATTTGAAACAAGAACAATTGGAGTTTCAAATCTTGTTAATTTCATCCTCTCTTCTTCACCATTACATTCATAGATTGAACAAATGACATTCGGATGCTCAAACACACACAATACATTATTAATAATTGATTGAACCAAATTCACTGCAATTTGCAAATTATTACCACTCGATGATAAAGAATCATTACCAGCAACTTTTTGATTATTATTTGCAGCATAAATTACAACTCTCGACTCCTCGACCTTAATTCTACATCCCTGACTCAGTTCGGAAATTAATTTAATTTGACTTCCTTGCTTTCCAATGATTGCTGCCTTGATTAGAGTTCGATGATTGGTTGGGAGACGAATGGTTTGTTTAGTTTTGTTGTGTTGTTGTTGGTCGGAAGTGTGTTCGGAATTAGTGTTTTTGTTACCTCGGGCTGGTCGAAGAGGTCGAATTGGTTTCATGGTTCGCTTATTGTTGTGTGGTTTCATTTTTTTTGTATTGTTTTAAATTGTAAAATAATAATATTTTGTAAAATGTTAATATGGATATTTAATAAAGTCAACCAAGGGGGTATTAGCTCAGTGGGAGAGCGGTAGACAGCACATCTTCAGGTCCGGGGTTCGAATCGCCGATACCTCTCTTTTTATGATAATTTCATATTATTTCAACTTTCGAATACAAGTGAACGGTTTGTTAACCATTAGTTTTTTGGTTTTATGAGATTTAAATCTATTTACAAACCATATCTTCCTGGAGCAATGATATTATTTGGATCGATTGCAGTTTTTAAAGATTTCAAAATGGATGGAACTGCCTTTCTATCTGAAACCTTTCGCATAGCATTTACATTTAATCTATAAGGTACATAACCCAACTTGGATCCTTCTTCAAATAATTCATCAAAACATTGATGAGCTTTTTTGACTTGTTCTGGATCTGACCTGTCAAATAATATTGGAATAGTGCTGTCACATGCCCTGTCGTTCATACTTGTCAAAGTGATGAGTGGTTCAATACCATGCTTAATACAGACACGTTGAGCCAACTCTACAAATTCCTGAACATTTTCTGGATGAAGTGGAACCAATGGAGCAAACCATAAAAGTCCGCAACCATCCTGTGATGGATTCATTGGTTTCTCTGTTGGTTTCTTCCCAGCTTTCCAATAAGCCAATGGAAGAGCAACTTGACTTGGTTCTCCATTCATTAATTTTAAGCTTTCATTGACAGCGTACAGAGCTTTGACAATTGGAATATTCTGGACGAAACTAACCTTATCTAGAATGGAACAGTAAGTTGAGGTTTCTTTTGGATTGAGAAAGATAATTTTTCTAGTGGATTGTTTCAAAATCTTTTTGATTTCCTTCTTGGCAGCTTTCACAACTTGTTCACTTCCATAAATGGTTCCCGCACCATTCCAGTTCGAAACTCCAATACTTTTTTGCATATTCGAAAGCATTTCGTCAGGAATTACCTGATCCTTCCCAATCTTTTCTTTCGGATAAGGAAGTGTCATTGAAATCATCCTTCTATTATTCATCAAATTAATGGAACCAGTAACATTTCCAATTTTGGTTAAAATCTCCTTAACTTTCTGAACTCCAACATCCAACTCATCCACTGCAAAAAAGAATGCCTCCACCCTTTCAGGTCTAGTAGCCAACGCAATACTCATCTCTGTTACAATACCAAAATTACCCTGAGTGAAAATTCCACAAACATACGGACCTGTTCCCCATTTATAGAGTTTATCTATTTGTGGAGCTCCCATTTGATGAAGCATTGAATTGTAAACTTCTCCATTTGGTAGAATTGCCTCTAGAGACATACAAGCAGAAAAGTGATCAGCATGTGGAGTAATTCCATAACCTCTCTCTAGGGCATTTCCCAGTAGACTTGTGTCAGGTCCACCACCAGTGACAGGTATGAGATAGGAGAGGTTATTGTCTTTAAGATATTGATTGAGTAAACGTTGGGTTACTCCTGGTTGAACTGTTACTACACCACTTTTGATGTCAAATTTGATTTCTGTCATTCTTGACATGTTCAAGATGATTCCTTCTCGAACAGAGTTGGTTGACACGTCATGTTGAGGAGGTGGATTCATACTGCCATATCCCCAGTTATTACCTGTACTCACTGGATAGATTGGAATTTTGAATTTGTTGGAAATCTTGACAAGTTTCACAATTTGTTCTTTATCAGTTGGATAAATGACAGCTCTTACTTGGTTGACTTGTTCCATGGCAGAGCAATCTTGTAGTAATGTCTTTAGCATGTTTGGATCAGTACAGATTTGATCTGGAGAAAAGATGTTTGACCATTCTTCTAAAGCTCTTTCCATTCGAAAGTTACCTAAATGTAAGTACATATTTTCGTGTAACACTGCTACTTGATGTTGTTCGTGTTGTTGGTATTCAACATCTTCCTCTTGCATGTATGGTTTAATTGGTGATAGATTGGCATGACTGATTTCCATCTTGTTTCTCACACTATTCGAAACCAATGAACCCGTATGCTTGCTCTTCAACAAAGCAGCTACTGTACTCTCCTTGTTGTTCATCACCATCGATAACTGAACAACTCTTCTGGTATGTTTGAAATGTGTAGTTCTCATTTTCTTTTGGAGATTAACAATTGATGGCATACAAGTTTTTTCACACAATGGAACCGACCGCGTTTTTTATACTAGAAGAGAAGAACAAAAAGATTATTTTCGTTACTACTGGAAAGTTACATTATGATCAGCTTCCTGTTTTGTTACATTTAAATGTTCAGAAAGAGTTCGTTGAAAGATTCTAGTAGATCTAAAAAATGTTTCAAAGTTTGCAGTTTCAAAATGTGGATTCGAGTCACAAATAAGAACAATTAAGCAGATTTTGAGGTGTGGCTGTAGTGAGGACAGTATAAATATATTGAATAGGTTTAATATTCAATTGTGTGATAAAAACCAATCAGTCGTCAGTCATTATCATTACTGAGGATTATAATGAGTTTCAGTTTCTTACAACAAGGTTGTATAAATCTCTGCACACTGGTTCTTTAACATCCTCATGGAAAACGTCGTGTTTAAGATTGGGATATGATTTCCATGTTATATTTTGAAAATGTTTGGAGAAGAGATGTTTAGTTTCGTCCCACGAGAAGAAATTATCAGATTCTCCGTATACAATGAGTGTGGGTACGTTCTGTGTGGATTGAGATTGGTCAGGATTAAAGGAGGCCAGTAAAATTTTCACACTCCTCATCTCTTCCAAAATGGAAATAGATGTTGAACTCTTCCAGTAGCCCTTGTAAAGTAGAGCATCATTTTGGAAACGTTCTCTGCATTTTGGTTGAGCACACGGTATTCCAAATGGTGGATACAATGGAAGTGAAGGGAATATCCGTAAAACAGGCACAACCAAAAACTTTAACACATGCAAATTGAAATTTGAAATAGCTCTCTCAATTCTCTCCCTATAATATTCAAAATTATTGGACGAATCACCCTTTCCATAAGGTGTAATCCAAAATACCTGATTATATATGAAACTCATTGAAATTGTTGGAGAGGAAAGTAAAACTCCAGAGAAATTCTTCACTCTCGCCTTGAATGTTTTCAATGGATGATAATGATGAGTATTATTGGGTTCCAATTGAAATTGTTGAACAGAATTCAAATAATCATTCCACAATAAAT